TCATCTTTTCATATTATTTTCCAATTTTCAATAAAATTTTTGTAATTTTATCATTTTCCACTTTTTTTAATATAATACCAGAATATCCTTAATATAGATATTAGTACAGTTGGTTAGTATTTTTATTATAATTTATTATATTCGATATAAATGATAAGATGTGTGCGTTTTAGATATAAGTTCTAGTTTTAAGTATAATGTAAAATAGATTTAAGTTTTAATACTACAATCTAATTAAAGATTTCATCGATGGATGATGTTGAATAATGATGAATAACATAGAATATAGATTTTAATTTCTTTATTATAATTTATTATATATTTATAAATATTAAAATTCGATATAAATATTCAAAATATTATGACGAAGCAAATATTGATTCTATTAACGCATTGCGCGCGGTCACAAATATTTTTTGAAATTAATATTAAATTAGTAAAAGGAAGTGATGAAGAAGAAGAAGCAATATCTTTTTGATATTTTTCTTCTTCTTCTTTTTATCAAACATTTGTTCTGAAAATATTGCCTTTTATTTTAATTAATTATAAATTATGTATAAAAATGTTACCAATTATTTATTAATATCTCAAATTTAATAAAATGTTTGTTATCAGATTTTAAAATTTAATTTCCAATGATAAATCATTAAAATTTCTCATAAATTTTTAATTTTTTAATTATTTTTTTAATTAAAATGTAATTTTATTATGAATTGCTTAACAAAAATCACTAATATAAATCCAATAAAACAGAATAAAAATTTATACATACGAAATTAATATAAAATTTTGTCAAGAAAGACATGGCGTCCATATTGGAATTTTTCCCGTCTTCAAGAGTATTGCCATAACACTTAATAATTAAAACCAATTAAACCTACGCAGAAAAAAATCAAAATTTCTAAATGAATGAATAATATCTATGAAATTAGATTATGTTGAGGTATCATAACAATCAAATTAAATGAAAACTCAATATAAACCATCTTGTAATTCGACATTCGAATTATATGATAAACGAGAAACCCAAAATTATTTAATTGTCAAAAAATTATCAATTTTGATAATGATGAGTAAAATATTGAATAAAAATGTATTAATTAACACGCAATTGATAACAAAAAAATTATATAGTTATAAAAAAAATAATATTAAAATACTATGCAATAAATAGAACACATGTTTCGAGAAAATTCCAAACATCTAATTATTATGATGAATCAATGAACAATATCACTGCGCTTCGATTTCGCGCATCGAATAACAAGACGAAAAGAGGATATTTTCGCTCGACAATTCGACAAACCGAAACATGTTTGAACACGAATCCAATTTCATAGAAGTGAAATATCATAAGAAATATTTCTAGCCTCGAATAAAATATAAACGATAGACCAAAAAAAGTACACAATAAACATATATGCGAGATGTTACATACGATATATATATATATTCGGAAAAAATATATGATATTTGAATTCAATTTCACGAAATGAATATGTAACGAATCGTAAAAAATTTCTTTTACTTTAATAACAACTAAACGACTAAATAAAAAATAAAGATCAAGAAATAGTAAAATAAATGTATATAATTAAAATTACATTAAAAAAAACAATATATCCTTTCAAATTCTGTCTCGAAATATTTCGATACCGAAACACTAATGACGCAATAGACGCAAAATGAACAATCGAATAAAAAGACACAAAGATATGCAAAAAACTAATTAATTTCGTTTTCGTTACATTGAATGAATTATTTAAAAAACTAAATTAGCAATAATTGATGAATTTGATAATAATAAGAGTAAAAAAAAACTTACTGCGTAATCCGAATTCGCGACGTCTACTCTACACAATTTTCAACTGTAGACTGACGACATGCGCACTATGTTGCGCATTGCGTTGCGCAATGCAATGCACACTGATTCGTCCCGCGTATGAATTAATCGACGTTCTGATTGGTTGGCTCATGATGTTTATTTTACTATTCAAAAATCGCGCGAAAAATTAAAATATAATATATAATATAAAACAATATAAATAAAATAATATAAATAATATAAATAAAATAAATATAATATAAAATAATATAAAATTAAAATATAATAATATAACATATATATTAATTGTTGTTGCTTGTAAGATTAGAATCCTGTAAAGATCTATTTATTGGAAAAATAAAAAAATTATTAGTAAAATTACTAATTTAACAAAAGAAAATAAAATAATTATAATGCAAAAAAGGAATTCAATACAAAAATTAATTAAATTTAAATAAAAGTAAAACACAAAAGAGAAATTTAACAAAAAACTTAAATAAATTCATAAAAATTGAAAAAATAAAAAAAGAACATAATATAAAAATAACTGAATTTAATATAATGAAAACACAAGAATTTAATTTTAAAATAAATAAATTTAAAGAATTAAATTATATTAAATAAAAGAAAGCAATATCGATATAAAAATCAAGAGAAGGAAAAACATAAATAAATATTTAATATAACAAGTATCTACTTTTCTGCAATACTACTTTATTTAATAACTCTTGAATGTGCATGCACTTAATTCTAAGTGCATTTTTTTTAATCAATTATATTCTGCTTCTGTAAAAAATTCTGAAATAAATTTAAATTAAAAATATAATATCAATATTTTACTTATTCTTAAAGTTTTTTTTATATTCTTATCTAATTAAGAATATAATATCTATTATCTATATATTATACATTCCCTATCTATATAAGAATTTATATAGATACAAAATTTTGTTTTTAACTTTGTCTAGTGAACATTTAACAAATTTCTTTTCATATCAACATTTATCATATCAGAATTTTTCATCCTACATAATTAAATAATCAGAGAAACATAAATGCACGTAACTCATCAATAAATGAAAATGAAAAATCAATGCCATGACCCATAAGATGTCATGACCAAATATGAGAAAATAAAATCTCTATCAAAACATGGAATATCATAATTTAAATATAATATTAGTTATTTATTGAAAAAGATAAAATAAATGGAAAATATAATAAAATAATTATCTTCTTTCTGTAGTAGATGGTTATCTTTTTCTCTTGAGAAGCACTGACTCTCCCATATATAAAATACATATACAGTATACAAGCAAAAGTCTTCAAAACTTCCTTTTAGAAAAGTACAAAGATATCCATATTGAAATTTTTTTCTTTAAAACTTAGCAATTAAGTAATAATCTGTACAAAATAAGAATTTTTAAATAAAAAAACGCATAAAATTAATTATATAATATATAAAATTAACTAATTATGATAAACTCAAAACACTTATTAATTTCATCATTACAATAATAAATAAATTATTAAAAAAAGTAAATTATAAATTCGATAATAGAATATGAATAGAATTACTTATTGCATAATCGAATCACCGAAGTCAGTTAAAATCTTACGTGACTTACAATGACTTGCAATTGTAGACTGACGCGCGCCAAAACTCGAATAACAGTTTCCTGATTGGCCAATCATAAGCTAATTTATTATCGATTTATCAATTATTTATTGATTTATTCGATTGGAAGTATATTACTTTTCAAAAAATGTCGAGAGATGGCGCTAAAAGTCTATTCTTATTATATCTCTATCTCTCATTATTTTCTATTCTTTCTTTTTGTATTTCATTTGCGGCATTTTTAAGATGGCGCTGATTTCAATATTTGTATCTTATCCATCTTACTATTTACTATTTTTATTTATATTTCATCTGAAAAATGTATTAAAGAAACTTCAATATCTATTAACATTATTATTTTCTTTAAATCCAAAAAAAATTATTTCATTCATCTATTTATTGCAATTTTTATATATCGTAAATATATACATCTTATATATATATCTATTTTTTATATTATATATATTCTTTTATTATTAATATTAATATTAATATTACAATTTATTATAAATATATATATTTTATATTTTATTCCATTATGCATTGCAAGTAAAATATTTAATAATTAAAATTAAAGAACCAAAAAAATAGATTAAGATGAATTATTATATTTAAATTTTGATGTAATGATTTCTTGAAGTTGTATTTTATTATATTAAAACTTATATTTTTGAATATTTTTCGTCAAATATTATTATTAAAAAATATAAAAATAATTAAAAATTTTATATCCTGTAAAATGAAGTTTATTCATACTTTTAACATGCTTTTTTTTTCATAGTTGAATTCTCACAATATTAACATATATTTTTTATTTTAATGTATTTTAATATATTTTCTATTTCATTATACTATATATTTTTCGTAAGTTTAAAAATTTATTTGAAACTCATGAAATAATAATAATTATTTTATTTTAATTAAATTTATATTAATTTTCTCAGCTTTAAATTATAAATATAAAAGTATTATAAAAAATAACAATTCTTTTATTATTGAAAATTATTGAAAAGTAACGTTTTATTTGATGTAAAAATATAAATGCAATAATGAATAATAATAATAATAATAATAAAGTAATACAGCAGCGACATCTTCCGCAAAATAAATCAATAAATTCTAATTTAGAAATAAAATCTGGATAATATTTTTATTGCTTTAAGAAAGAAAAATCACGTGCAATATTTTTATGTTTATTTTGTTAGCATGTTTATCATTTTATTAATTAATATTAAAATAAAAATATAATATTATTTTTTCCGTAATATATAAAAATAAATGATACTATTATTCCCTATATTAATAAAACACTAAAAAATTTATTTAAAAAATAGAAAAATTCTTAACTTTCACTATAATTTTAAAGGATTTCTACTGGTGTAACCACTACAAACCATTCTCAGTATACTTTCACTAACAGGACTTATATTACAGTGTTATATTACTATGTTATTTACAAAGATTACAGTATAAAAATTTCAAACTCAATAACCGAATTTAGAAATAGATTGTAAGATTTTATAATAGTTACTTATTATTTCATGATAAATAATTTTATATTACATATATAAATGATATAATACTTTACTATGAAATAATCAAATATATACAAAAAATTATATGTTTGACAACATGTTTCTCTTAAAGAAAAATTTCTCACTTCTTTCAAATACTTCATTGAAGCAACTACATACTTCAAATATATTGTAAGTAATATATATATTGAATTTTAGAAAATTATTAAAAAATTTAAAATCAAAAATATATTAAAAACTAATTATTAAAAATTAATTAGTATTAAATAATTATAAAAATTATTAGTATTTCTACATATAAGTTTCTTAATATAATTTTTTAACAATTAAAAAAAAATAATTCACAATTCTTTTTAGACAAAATGCTATAATAATAGATGGTAAAAAAATAGCTAATAAAATACAAAATGAATTAAAAATAACTGTTGATAATTGGATAAATGATAATAAAAAAAGACCTAAATTAGTGGCTATTAAAGTTGGTAATAATCCTGCTAGTAAAATATATGTTGATAAAAAAATAAAAGCTGCAAATTTTATTGGTAAGATGTTCTAAAGTAATAAAATTTATATAATTATATACTATTAAATTTTTGATTAAAAATAATTAATAAATAATATATATATATATACTAAATAAAATGAGATATATACTAAATACTATGAGATATCTATATATAATATATTTATTTTATTAATGACTTAGGAATTGAAAATTATACTATTCACTTAGATGAGAATAGTTCACAACAAGATATTATTAATGAAATTGATAATTTAAATAAAGATAAGACTGTAGATGGAATTCTTGTGCAATTGCCATTAATAAAACATATGAATGAACAAGAAGTTTGTCAGGCGATTATACCAAGTAAAGATGTTGATGGTTTTCATTTAGAAAATTTAGGTAATTTAGCATTAAATAGGAATGGAATTATTCCTGCAACTGCTTTGGCTGTGAAAGAATTAATAATAAGAAATAACATTGAAACTTTTGGAAAAAATGCAGTTGTAGTAGGAAGATCTAAACATGTTGGTTTACCTATTGCATTACTTTTACATGGTGACAGTAAAGGTATATAATATAACGAATATGTGATTATACATTAACATTGAATATATAATTGCAAAATCTATAAAATCTTAATATTAAATTAATTCTTAGATAGAACAGGTGCATTAGATATGACTACAACTATATGTCATCGTCATACTCCTCATACTGAATTAGAAAAATTTACAAAATTGGCAGATTTAGTTGTTGTTGCAGCTGGTATACCTGGTTTAATCACTAAGGAAATGATAAAACCAGGAGCATGTATAATTGATGTAGGAATTACAAGAATAAAAATGGATAATAAATATAAAATAGTAGGAGATGTAGATTTTGAAAATGTAAAATCAATTGCTGGACATATAACTCCAGTGCCGGGAGGTGTAGGTCCTATGACTGTAGCAATGTTAATGAAAAATACTATTTTAGCAGCTAACAAAAATTATGAAAATTCAAAGCTCTCTGATCATAATAATAAATAAAGATTTTGATCAATAGTTAAATATTGAAATAATAGTATAATAGTATAAATAATAAAATATATATACCAATATTAATATTATATTAATTATATTATTTTAATAGTTAGAGATATGGAATTAAAAATAATAAAAATTTTAATCATATTTTTTATATTGTTTTTTATTAAAAATTTTTATTTATACAAAAATTTAAAAATAAAAAAAACTTTAAAAATAAAAAAACAAATATTTTTATTTTAAATATAAATTATAAATGCAAAAAAAATGAATTAAAACTTAAAATGATAGAATATTGTAATAATAAATATGTAATATGATAAAATATTGTAATAATATATTGTAATATTTAATATTGTAATATGTAGTTTTATTAAGAAAATTCTCAAGATCAGATAAATAAAAAAAATTTAATTACAATTGACTATAAATATGAATTTACCTATATTTAATATCATAATTTAATATCATAAATTTTATTAATTTAAAATTATAAATACAATAAATTTAATAATTAATTTAATATCATAAATAAAAAATAAAAATATTTTAAAAACAAGTTAATAAGGTAAATAAGGTTATCTTTTTCACTTCATAGTATCAAAACTAAATAAAAAAATAAGTCTTAAAAGTACACTATTAAATTAAAAATGTCCTTATTTAATTTTTCTATCTTTGCAAAACTAAATCAAAAATCTTTACTTTTTATTGCTCTCAAACTCTCAATACATAATCAGAAATTTTTCACATCGACAATAAAAATGGATCGACCAAGAGTTCTAATAACACGTTCGGATATTCCATCTGCAGCATTAAGTTTGCTTAAAGAACAGTAAGTACTTTTCTATATATTAAAAATGATTTAAAATATATTTTATTGTTTTAAAATATGTAAAGTATGTTTTTCATATGTTTTTTCAAATTGTTTTATATATTGCATATATTGTTATATATATATATATATATATATATATATATATATATATATATATATTATTATT